CGGTCGATCGTCTCTGATGCCTTGTTCGCTCAGCGTGCTAGATCTCTCGTTCAACCTGCTGCGGCAAATACCCGAGCCTATACAGTATCTTCCGTCGCTCGAGAAGGTGTTCTTCGTGCAAAACAAAATTTCGCAGATCAATGGCTTGGACCGCATCGGACAGACCCTACGCAGTCTGGAGCTTGGTGGCAACCGAATAAGAGTGAGTTTGCTTTCCATGCAGCAGAGACATTCGCTGACCAGCCCAGAATATTGAAAACCTCGACAGTCTGGTTGCATTGGAGGAATTATGGCTGGGTAAGAACAAGATATCGAAACTACAGGTGCGCTACTTTACCTGTCCCATACTGGCGCTAACGAACTGCCAGGGTCTGGACGGTCTCAAGCGCTTGAAAATCTTGTCTATCCAGTCAAATCGTATCACGAAGCTGGAGGGCCTCGAGAACCTAGAGAGCTTGGAAGAGTTATACATCAGCCATAACGGCATCACGCGATTGGAGGGTATTGAGAAGAATGTGAGCCTCTCCTTCAAGGGCATTAATAGCTACTTAACACACGAACGTCAGACCAATCTCCGGACCCTGGACATTGGAAATAACTTCATAGAGAAGCTGGAGAATGTATCACATTTGAGCAACCTCGAGGAGTTGTGGGTGAGTGTTGTCAAGCCGCACTACGCGAGCCGGTACTGATCAGCAGCATAGATGAATAACAACAAGGTTGTCACACTCGATGCACTGGAGCCGCAACTCAAGCACATCAGCACATTGGAAACGGTCTACCTTGAAGGAAACCCGGTGCAGAAGAAAGAGGGAACGGCTTACCGAAGAAAGGTGATCTTAGCCCTCCCACAAGTGAAGCAAATAGATGCAACGTGCGTCCCCGTTCCGCCCTGCCCCTCATCCTCCCCCATGCCTCCTTGCTCACGTTCGTCCAGATACGTAAAGCAGTTCTAGCCGACACGCCCGGGGCAGGCCAATTCAAATGCGCCCCCTGAGCAAAGCTCCCGAACGATCGTGCAGATATGCATCTCCTTAGTTATCCACGCGCGATCGAGTGTTTGTATACATAGTAACATACTTCGGGATAATGGCTCGATCGTTCACACAGTAGCTTTCGGACGTGGGGGTCTGAGATCACCCTTAGCCTCGATTGCGATCGCCCTCGTTGGTCTGCGATCGCGTGTCCGGACAGCGTGACATGGTGTTACTGTGACCGGACGCGTCTGTCACGAGACGCTCGCAGAGCCGGGTCACTGCTGGAATATGAGAAACATCAGGAAGGACTATCTCCGCCCTTTTCCACCCAAGACGTTGAGTCTAACGGCATCTGTGAGTTGACAGGCTGCCCGACACTGTCCTTGTCTGACTATGTGCAGACCGGTGTTTCTTCTTGGAGATGCCCAACGAAAAGGCGCTGTCGAGGCTGTTCCGAGTCAACGAGACAGATTACTCGCGACTTCATGCTCTCCTCTCGCCTCTTCTCCCGCAATCCCTAACGATACTAGGACCTATTGAGCAACATCGAGACGGGACGTTCGACATGCCCATATGGGCTTCGTTTCCACCGAAGGAGACACCGCCCAATCCGTTCGCGTTCTATACCATCGCCGGGTACCAGTCGCGTTTATTCTGCTCTGCAGACGCATCCGATGTCCAGCCTACGCGCGAACAAGAGGCCTTCGTAGCCTTATTCATGCAGTCTGCCATTCAAGCAGCATATGCCTATCTCGCAGACACAAGAGGTCTCGGTGACATTTCTCCACAAGACGGTCTCATTGTCGGGTCAATTCACGGGAAATGGGGGAGTTGCCTGCGAGCCCTCCCTTTTTCTCGTACATCCCTCCCTGTGCGCAAATTCCTGTTACCACCCACTGCCGCCCGCGCGTTTGCTGCAGGTGCAACCGACGAGAGACTGCCACCAGGCGCTCGCTTGACACAACTAGAGAAACGCGATCTGGAGATGGTCGTAGGCCGCAATAAGATACAGCGACCTACCTGGTATGTGGAAGGTAGACTACAGCAGTCGGTTGCCATCCGCGTGTCGAGTCCAGGCGACGACGACGCTCTGGTAGCGTGAGCATTCGTGCATGCGGACTCGAGCCTAGGGCAGCTGAACGTCGTTGATGGCTTCCAACGTCGAGGGCTCGGAGGGGAGGTGCTGCGGCGTGTCGTCGCGCAGCGACTTGCACGGGCTCAGGAGAGGCAAATGCAGGCGGCGGGGGAACCGGGAGACATGACAAACGGGTGGAACATGGTAGACGTCGCAGTGGGCAATGCGGAGAGCACTGAGTTCTTTAGGCGGCTAGAGGGATGGGAGGAGGCTTGGGCGACCGCATGGATGACGTTTGTTCCGCCGTCGCCGTTGTACTAATATCGCAGGGATGCTTTTGCCAGTAGTTCGGTAGACCGCGGAAAATAGTCTATATCATCAACGTCGGACATCATCGTCCTTGAGTCAATCAAGGCTGGCCTAACGCCCCACCAATGCTCTGCCTGACAAGACCTATAGATACAGCCCTTTCCCTTTCTTATGTGATCTCTGTCAACGCCGTGACTCAGAGTGATCCCGAGGTGGTGGTGCACATGGCACCTATCGCTGTAATGACTCATGCTCCCGAGTATTCAATCGGCGGGCAGGACTTGAAACCTACGAACACAACGCGACCATCCCTGACTGTGAGTCTTGTTGATTGATAAAACCGTCTCACGTACTGACCGCCGCTTATGTAGATACAGAGAAGGATATCGCTATGATCGCACCACTGTCACGGTCGATCCGTGTCGAGGCCTGCGACTATGCGCGACTCCATGCACTCCTCTCGCCCCTCCTCCCTGAGTCGCTCGCAATACTGGGACCATATGAACAGTACAGAGATCTCCCGTCCGACATTCCCATATGGGCGTCATTCCCGCTCGAAGAGGCGCCACCTGCGCTCTTCGCATTGTTCATGCTGGGCCCACCAATTGCTGCATACCAATCGCGTCTCTTCTGTTCCGCGGACTCCTCTGCGGACGAACCGACACCTGAGCAAGAAGCCTTCGTCGCGTCGTTCATGCAGGCTAGCTTGCGCACTGCGTTTAAGCATGTCCCGATGACCAGCTCTACTGACCTTGGCAAGCTCCTCGTAGGGTCCATACACAACAAATGGAGGAATTGTCTCCGCGCACTTCCCCAGGCAATCCTCCACACCCCCTGCCGGAAGGTGCTTTTGCCCCCATCGATGGCTAGGGCTTTCGTCATCAGCGCGCCCGACGCCATGTTGCTCCTAGGTGCACGAGTAACTCGATTAGAGACAAGAGACATAGAAACAGTTCTGTCATACAACAAAGTCGCCCGGACCGCCGAATACGTCGAGAGCCGCTCGGATCAGTCTGTGTGCATTCGCGCGCCGGGCCCGGATGGTGAGGAAGTCCCTGCGGGCTGGGTGTACGTGCACTTGGACTCGAGCCCGGGCCAGCTGCATGTGGTCGACACGTTCCGACGACGCGGCCTCGCCGGCGAGCTCATGCGCCGGGTCGTCGCGTTACGGGTGGGGAGGCTGGAAGAAAGAGCAAGGCGGGCACCTGAAGAACCGGCAGACATGACTGGGGGCTGGAATGCTGTTGACGTCGAGGAGGGAAATGCAGAAGGAGCTGGATTCTATGGTTGCTTACCAGGATGGGAGCAAGGTTGGCTGTGTTTCTGGGCGAGGTTCGCAGCACCGCAAGAATAGTGAACTTGTATATAAGAATCCATCAAACGGTGTCCAGAACTAATAGCAAACACAATCTACCACGCGCAACGTTAGGCAAAGCCTCGCATACCACCGAGCCAGGTCAGGAACGAGGACAGGACCTCCCGTATGACTCTAACGTCATTTAGGGATGCCTAGTATGAGGTTGTATCAGTTCCGCGCAGTGAGATAGGTTTGTCGGCGATTACGTACCACAGGAGTTGTCGCCCGAGAGCAGCAGCCATTGTGCAGCCACACTCATCGCCCTCAAATGGGGGGATTCCCAATAGCCAACGAGACGAGCCACTTTGTTCGTGAACCTCCTCGGTTGCCACAAGGCATAACAAACAAATGACGGCGGCAGGTAGCCGGTGCAGCCAAAGTCGATAGCGACGCCCTTTTCCTCAGGATCGATGATGAAGTTGGAAGGGTGGATGTCGGATAGACAAAGGACTAGACCTTGGGCGGTCTCATCGGTGAAGTCGACCTTAATCCCTCGCTCGGCTGCCAACTTGTTCACCACCAACTGTCGATGCGATGCGAGATACTGAGGACAACATTAAAGGCGTACCCGATTGATCTGGGCTTGGAGTTCCTTCACCGAAGCGTATTTATGTTTGGATTGGCGTTCTTGGAAGAAATCGTGGCCGATGATTCCGCCGCCGACGTAGCCAGGAGGAGTGCCCGGAGGCACGCGAAGGCTGAAAAGCTGTTTGACGACGGCGACGACAGCTGCTACATCGCCTTCCGCGTATTGATCTGGGCCTGGCTGGCGCTGCTCAACAGTTTCGCCGGCGATGTACTCCATGACGATGTATGTAACGCCTTCGTTCGCACACGAAGACGAGATAGACTTCGGGCACACGTACAACGCTCTCCGGGTCAGCGTTCACGATTCGCGCCACTTGGTTCTGTGTAAGGGCTTCGCCCAAGTGGAAGAAGGCGTAGCACCCGTACTTCACCCAGAATCGTGGGACGCCATCAACAACGAAGGGGAAGCCGTTCTCAACCGGGCTGCGACCAGCACGTTGTTTGACGATGAGGTCTGGGGCCGGGAGGTCTGCCGGTGGGAGGTAGTAGTATATTCAATCTCGATACTAGTCGACATAGCGAAAACCTAGATCGCAACACGCGTGTAAGCACAGTCAACAAGGAAGACAGGAGGCCACCGTGCCATGAAGCTAAAGACTTGTAAGACTTGAAGGAGATCAGTAAGACGACCGTGGTGGCTAAACCCCGCTGGAAACGGATGCCATGTTATGTCGGTGAGAGATTGTGAAACCATGGGTCGGTGGCGTAGTTGGTTATCGCATCTGTCTAACAACCTGTCCACAGAAGGTCCTCAGTTCGAGCCTGGGCCGACTCATCTTTTGTCTGCAGGCCCGAGCTTTGGTCCTGAACCTGACTTGAGTACTCCTCTTGCGAAGAAACAATTTGCACAACGGATGAATTGCAGATCAGTGATAGTCGACTCCACCGTCACTCAGCTGCCCAACCTTGCAAGCTTCCGGCCACCACTTTTTCCAAACGATTTCCGTGCAGGGGATTACAATTGCGAGAACTGCCATGCACAGTCACAACGCATGTTGACCGACTGTAGCTAATGTTCCCATGTGTTCTCCAAGTCAGCGTACTGCGACAACCTCTTCTTCCATATAACGGAGGACGGGAATAAGGGTAATGATACAAAGTACCATCATAGAGATTGGCTTCCGACTAAACCACCCTCTGCCGTTCGTGCTCTTGCCCTGGCCTAGCGTGGTGTCAATGGTAGCACAAGATATGGTCCAGTGAACGTGCCTTGTCGAGTAGATCGTTTTCTAGTTCAGGCAACACTTCGACTTGTTCCTTGTCTTGGGGAACAACCGCCCACCGGGTGGGGGCATTCTGCACGAACAAACATACGTCGTCCGGCAGGTACATGCCATGAGCCGCCTTAAATTCCTCGCGTAGCTGAAGCTCCTCTGCGTCCATCGTAAGTCGAAGGTAATCATCAACGTTAATATCGTCTCACCGTCAGCCAGAGAGTTGAGCTGAATGATCATGCTCTTGACGAGCCGCTCTGCGTCTTCGCGGTACCGGCGACGACGCGCTAGCTCCAACAAGAGCAGATTGAAAGAGTACTCGTAGGACGTATAACGGTGGTGCAGATCGTCGATCGCGATCAAGTGGTCATGCAAGAGGTTGAGATGTTCCGTGCTCTCAGCCTGCGCTGCTTCAGTGCGACTACATCGTAGGAAACCAATGCACCTTACTTCAACTGCTTCTTGTTGTTCGAGCATGTCTGCCATTATGCCGCCGAGCTCATCTAGATCATCCAAGGTCCGTGCTAACGTGTTGGTGTGCTGTTCAATGGCACGTTTAGCCGCTAGGAGCTGTTCGCTAGATGTTGATGCATCGGAAACCTCGATGAGACCGAACACAGCTCGACGTACTGAGCATCCTCTATTGCCTTCATGTTCTGTTCCAGTTCTGAAAGGATGATAGGTAACTCTTCTGTGTCCCTCTTCATTTCTACGCTAGCAATGTCAAGGGAATATGCACCATTACCGGCAACCGCGCAACACACCTCGTAGATCCTCCTCGCTTAGCTCTTCACCCGCCTCGTGCTCGTGGAGAATATTGGACATTTGTTCGTAGTGAGCAGCAAGGCTCTCGAGATGCGCAGCCATGTTCTCCTTAGCATCTTCCTGGGCGGTAAAGATATTGTCAAACAAGGGAAGCGAGGTCTCTGCAGGCATGTCGTCCTCAATTGCTGCAATAGAGGCCATAAGGTATTCCGGATGGTCCGCCGTGCGCGCGAGCAATGTCTAAGACATACAACTCGGTTCCTCGTTCGCAGCAACTAGTGAACCACTTACATCTAGCGCACTGCGGTCGCTTTCAACTCTATCCAACATATCCTCTATTGCACGTTCGTCCACGAAGTCTCGCAGAGTCTTCCAGCTGCTCCGGTCCGTCCGTCCGCCATTGACACGAGGATCCGCGTGGCGCGAGATATTCCTCAGTGTGTCTGTAGGGCTGGTGCCGGGTTGGGTCTCCTTGGTGTCTTGTTCTTCATCCGAATCTTGAGGTATGCCGAACGGAGACACGTCAGGCGACGCGGTAGTATGGAAGTCTGGCGGAACAACTTGGTCCCCGAGAGTCTCAAGGATAGAGTCGAGCGCGTCCGTGCGTTGACTGCGAAGAGTGTCCCATTCCTAAGTCAGGTGCCCCAGGTGAGCCTCCGAGAAGGGCATGAGTCTGGGATGACATACCTGTGCCGCATTCTCTAGCTGAGTCCGTTTATGCTCTATCGTCTTCGCTACGTGCGCAGCCATCTAATATGAGCACTGGCGATTAGCCATGCATGCCAATTGCAGCACCGTATCACGAACACACCTTCAACTGTTCTACGACGGCGTTCTTGATCCAGTGTACTTTTGCATCCAAGCTCATGACGTCCACGGTGATTCGGGCGGATGCCGTTGAGACGGTACTAGCCCGTATACATGAAGCCTCGCCATGTTGTAATGCTTTCTTAGACTGCAGGACAAGCGAGACGATGTGTGGTGCACCTGAAGGAGACTCCGGAGTTGTGCCATTCATGTCGTACCAGGAGTGTAAGATAATGGAGACGGCGCACTGGTAACACTCGAAGCAAGAGTGCAGTGCGATGTAAGTACTAAGTAAGTAACACAAGGCTCGGCAAAGAGTTGGAAACGTTGTGGGGCGAAGCAAAATATGAGTCGGCCCAGGCTCGAACTGAGGACCTTCTGTGGACAGGTTGTTAGACAGATGCGATAACCAACTACGCCACCGACCCATTGATATTGAAACCCCGCCTACCATGATAACGCGCGTCTGTATGGTACGCCACAGCTGCGGTGCTGCCGGCTGCCATCTGTTCGACCCCGTATTCAGCACCATGTCGTTGCTGGCCCCCATCATCTGTGACAACGGAACTGGGTTCTCGAAAGTCGGGTAGGCCATCATAGCTGTTGCCCTGATCAGCTCTAACCTTGCCCCCAGGTTTGCCGGCAACTCCGACCCCTCCTTGTCAGTAGTATGTCCAGTCAACGGGATGCGTTGATCTCATCCTCCCTCGTAGTGTGTTTCCAACAGCTATTGCCACACGAGGCCCTGTACAGCAACCTTCGCGATCAGGACCGGCCGTACCACCGCGACCCGGACACCTCGCGTCCAAGCGTGGGGTCGAGGACCTCGACTTCTTCATCGGCGATGAAGCACTCGCGAATGCGCAGACCCCAGGCTACGGCGTGTATTATCCCATCCGCCATGGGCAGATTGAGAACTGGGATCACATGGAACGATACTGGGAGCAGACGATCTTCAAGTACCTGCGTGCGGAGCCAGAGGACCACTACTTCCTACTGGTGCGTTTCAGACAGTCTATGACTTACGATATCAATGCGATGTGATATCTCGCGCCCATAGACCGAACCCCCACTTAACCCACCTGAGAACCGCGAGCAAACCGCCGAAATCTTCTTCGAGTCCTTCAACATCAAGGGCCTGTACATCGCCGTCCAAGCCGTGCTCGCCCTGGCCGCGTCGTGGACATCCAATCGCGTCAGCGAGCGCACACTCACCGGCACGGTCATTGACTCCGGCGATGGTGTCACGCACGTCATCCCCTGCGCGGAGGGCTACGTCATCGGCAGCGCGATCAAGCACATCCCCATTGCTGGTCGCGATATCACGCAGTTCGTGCTGAACTTGATGCGCGAGCGTGGCGAGATGGCGACGGTCCCACCGGAAGACCAGCTGAAGGTCGCGGGCAAGGTAAAGGAGAACTTTAGCTATGTCTGCCAGGATATTGTCAGGGAGTTCCGGAAGTTTGACGAAGAGCCGTACAAGTATTTCGAACGGTACGATGGTGAGCACACGGTGACAGGAAGAGTGAGCGTCCCCCCCTCTATATCTGTTGTGAGGCTAAACCTGTCATCTCACATAGAAATACACGGTGGATGTCGGATATGAGCGTTTCCTCGCACCCGAGATCTTCTTCAACCCTGAGATCTACTCGTCCGACTTCCTTGTCCCGCTCCCAGAGATCGTCGACAATGTTGTGCAACAGTCTCCCATCGATGTCCGGCGTGGTCTGTACAAGGTGTGTCAAGATCTGCCTGCAATGCATCATTGAAGCTCAATACACTGTACGCCAGAATATCGTCCTATCGGGCGGTTCTACTATGTTCCAGCACTTCGGCCAACGTCTGAAGCGGGATATCAAGCAGATAGTCGATCGTCGACTAGATGCCAGCGTGCTCGCAAGCGGTAGCCACGTCAAGGTGAGCGCCGCGATGTTGTGTGTATTGAAGACACCGACTGAAAACTTGGCATAGTCGTCTGGTGTCGAAGTCGACGTCATCTCGCACAAGCGCCAACGGTTAGTGCTTATCCAGTGTGGTAACGATGTATTCGACTGACTTGCTATCAGCTACGCCGTGTGGTTCGGTGGGTCGTTGCTCGCATCTTTGGTAAGTGCGTCTGTTCGTCTGTGTCGAGCAACGCTAACCGTCCTTATTACAGCCGGAGTTCTACAGCTTCTGCCACACGAAAGCGCAATACGACGAGATCGGCCCGAGCATCTGCAGGCGGTACCAGATCTTCGGCAGCGCGACATAGAAGGGAGACCGCGAAGAGGAAGTACTGTAATAATACTGTATGGACGGCAGTGCAATTACCACAACGGAACGATCTGATACGACTAAATAATAACGCGGCATGGTGGTATACATGTTCGGTCTGTTTAGCTTGAGCAGCTGCACTGGTATCCGAGGAGATCCATCTCGCCGATACTGCAGTATCTACGTTCTTCCCTCTGTTCGGCGTCCAGTGTTGAGTCGTCTTCCTTATCTTCCGCACCCCAAGTGTCGAAGGGGTTGCATGCCATCTGCGGGGAGTGAAGGATAAGGGGACTCGTTGCGAAGCCCATGAACACAAGGGCCTACCTGAAGCACCTTCGCAAGCAGCCTCTTCCCACTGTCTACATCACGCTCGACATTTCGAATGACCTCCTCCAGTACCCACTGCCTCAAAACAAACCTCGGATTCGCTCCACGCATCTCCTGTGTCCTCACTTCGTCTATACCCCCTCCCCAAAGACCACGCTCGCTCTCAACCCGCACCAAGTACTTAGCGAGCCACACCTCCCAGTCGTCGAAAGCCTTGGCCATGTCAAGGTTGTGCGGAGTCGCACACTGGCCGATGAGGCGGTCGATGAGCAGATTACGTTGGACCTCGTCTGTAGAGCAACGGAATGCGCAAAGCGTGCGGAACGTCCCGTGGAAGTCGAGCTTATGCTCGGCCATGAGGTCCAGGAGCGGCCGGCATAACTCTGCCTCGTCGGACGCGTCGTGG